AGCTGACTTAATGTGAGTGACAATCACGTATATGTGGCACAATTCATGACTCTGATACTGAACGTGGGTGGCAAAGAGATGCCTGAACAAAACCCAAATCATGGCGACTCAGCAGTGACTCTCATCAGGGAAAGAGATTCCAGCTGGCCGAGAGAGTGGTGTGTCATGATACTGCTGGACATTGTGTGTCATATCCGTGTCATATCATTCTGAAATAAAGCCTACTTTCTGTTTTTATATATATATATATATATATATATTTATTTTGAATCTATTCAGCTATCCATACATCTATGCATCTATCTATTAATCTATCCATCCATCCAATCAATATCAAATTGGTTTGTTTACCTAATCAGAGAAGCTTGGATCTTTTCTGTCATAACTTAACAAACTCAGACAAAAAAAAAAAACATGTTGATTCAGAAGCTTTTCTCATTAGACGGCAGTAATTATAGCACTGATAATATTGTTCTGTATCATTATTACTGCTGCATGATTTTTCAATAATTGTCAGAATAATAAAGCAAATTGTGAACATATGGAGAGTTTCTGATTAAAGAAACTGATTGGCTGGTTAAAGCATACTAGTCAACAATGTGCCCTTTTGACAAATATATAGAAAATAAATAATTTCTAATGTATTCTAACATATCAGTCTTTTTCCCCACATACCAAATCACTCAGAAAAACACAGATGTTCATAACAAGTGTCTATTCGTCTACATAAAAAAAAACTAAGTAAACAAAATCCTCAAATTAAATGCAGAAACATTTTCAAGAGAGCATGAAATGTTGCAAAAAAGGTAAACCAATTATTCTACAATGACAAAAATGTGTTTTTAATAAACCACTTAACACTTAAGTTAATTAAAATATTTTATATCTATGAAATGTGGTTTTATTTGCTCCAATCTTTAGTAAATCATGTTCATAATGTCAAATACAATCACATAAAACAAGTGCACCAACACATGCTAACTATGAAAACCGGTTTGCACCTCAGATTAAAAAAATAAAAAAAATAAAACCGTTTTCAAATGAAAAAAGTGACATTTGATATGTAAGGATCCTATTACAAGAAATGAAACTGCAACAGTGAGATAAAAAGACACAAAGTCACAATTGCGAGATATAAAGTGGTATTTTTAACTCTGAGATGGAAACAGGTTTCCATAGTAACTTTTAATTGTTTCAAACAGTTAATTAAGGCAGGCAAAAAGAAGCTTTTGAACCAGATCGGAACCTGTGTGCATTCGTGAAATGCTAACAATGCTTTGCTGGAGTGGCTAGTCGGGATCAAAGGAGAAAAAGGACACGGCCACATTATTGTTCAGGATTATAAGGTGCCACTTGAAGTGACATCCGTGGTTATCTTCTGTCTGTGTGCGACAAAGAAGAAAAACACACACAGAAGTGTTGAGAAAGCTTCACGGCAGTGCCTGTGAAGATAGCTATTGATGCTGTGGCCACGCGCTTAGCTTCTAGCAAGCCAAGGGTGATTCATCTTGAATTAGGCCATTATAAAACATATCACATGGACAGAGAGAATCCAATTAAGACCCTGCCTCATCTTTTAGTCTCTCACTCTGTCTTTCTTTCTTTTTTCCCCCACCTCACCACTCCCCTCTGTAAAGACATTATGCCATTTGGATTGGATTTACTGAGGTAGATTAGAAGCAGACACAGCAAAAATCCAGCCCCGAATGGGTGCAATGGTGAGGTAATGGATGGGAAAATACTGCTGCCTTCAGCACTCGCATTTGCGAACGTCCATTTCATATAAACAAAAATTAGCCTTTAATATTTCACTTACATATGGCAACACTAAACAATAAGTAAAAAGGAGAGCAATGTCTTGCATTTTTCAGGACTCATTTAAACACTGTAATCAAATTAATTCAATGACATGCCTATTAATCATATACAGTGGGTACGGAAAGTATTCAGACCCCCTTAAATTTTTCACTCTTTGTCTGAAAAGCCCCTAAATGAAAATCATTAAAAGACATTAGCCTAGTATTATTGTGGTAAATGTATTAAATAACAAACAGATATTACAAAAAGTGTATTTGTATAGTCAGTATTTTGTTTGTTTTATGTCTAAAACTTGCATATTAAGGAATTTAAGTAATTTTTATTGCATTTAAAAAAAAAATTATATAAGGATCTTCTATATCCCTGCTGATTAGCAATATCACACTTGATGGTTAATTGGCAAATTAAAAAATTAAGTATGGGAGGCAGGATTAATAATTATAAAATTGTAAATATAAAAATAATCATTTAAAAAAAGTGTGATTTAATAGAAATATATTTTACAAATATTATACATTTATAATGTTAAATAATATAATAAATTATTACAATATAATTTATAATAAATAAATATGATAAATTATTTTAATTTTAATTTATTGTATAATTATTAAATAATTATAATTAATTATATAAAATACATTGTGATTTTGTATTACTGTTATTTTTAAATAATTCAATCGCACTAAATGAATGTGTGAATTGACAGCCCTATAAAACACACAAACACAATATGAACCCATCTGTTGTTTGTGATAAATGAGTGACTGAGGCCTGCTGCTGTTGATGCAGAAGTGTGTGTGTGTGTGTGTGTGTGTTTGTGTAAGTGTGTGAAACTGAGATTCTATTACACCCATAACCATCTTCACTGTCTTGTCCTTTCTCTTTTTCATCGCTGTCAATAAAACCTGCTGCCTTCCCAGGCAAAAGAAAGGCAGTCACCACAGCAACCGCCCTCCATTACAAGCACACACACTCAACTCACACTCACATACTCACACACACACACTCTCTGGGACAGAAGAGGAAGTGAATGCTTGATGACTGGTGAAGAAAAGGGGCTTTCAAGACCCCCTGCCTTAGACATATGGGCTGGCTCCCACCGCAGGAGGCAGAAGAGGTGGAAGGAAAGCAAAAGACAGAGACTCTGAAAGGACCTATCTATCTATATCTTTATCTCTCTCTCTCTATATATATATATACAGTGGGTACGGAAGAGAGAGAGAGAGATAATTTTTTGAATTTTAAAATATCTTTATTATAACAATTTTCTCTTAAAATACACAATTATTCACACTTCATTCAGAAACACTTTTTTCCTTCTTTTTCACATACATTTTTTTAAAAAGTCAACACCATTTTATTGTTCTCATATAGAGTACACAATACCTCATTAACACCCCAGATATCTATAAACTTTGGTAAACAATCTACATTTGAAATCGTAATTTTAAAAGAAACCCTGTAGAGTGGAGTAACTTGGACTAAATCGTCATTTACAATAAGGCCACTTTCAATTATTTGATTCACAAGATGCTGCGCTTTCAAAAAGACCACAACAGCCTTGTTCATTCGAGAAGCAGAGGAAATATTTTCGTGGCCTACCACCTCTCCTATCGCAACAAGCACATCCTCCACCATTATCCCATCAACAGGTACACACCTGAGTCCATTGCGTAAGGACAACGCCTCAACCTGAGACGCCATCCCTCTGCGTAAAAACTCACTTTGACAACAACAATTAAAAAAGACTTACCAAAACATGCAGAATCAAGATGAAAAAGCATAAAGAAAAAAGGTGAAATGCCACCACTCAGTCTTCGCCCCACCACCACTCTCGCACGTGCAAACTCCCAGAATGCCCCGAGAGAGAGAGAGAGAGAGTGTGTGTGTGTGTGTGTGGTTAGTCCTTTTTTTAATCAGTTCAACTCAACTGAACAATTCATTTGTCCAAGTGATTCTAGATTCATCAATTCGCTCACAATGATCCAATCTGAGCTGTTCTCAAGTTAGCAGCTCACTGACTCTGTCTCCCACTCATGTCTGAATCAAAACGAGTCAAGAACGGTTGAGTAATAACATCCTTGGAGCTCGAGTGCTTAAGGAATTGACATGTTGAAACGGCTCCAACGATCCTTAATGTGTACTCTGATTGGAAAGAACACCAGCACAGAATTGAACCAATAGCTACCAGCATCTTTCACTGAAATCAATTTGACACAAAGTCAAACTCTTTCCCTCTATGAATTTCCTTCAGGTATTCTTCAGGGCAGTTCCGCCTCAAAGGTTCATGCGATACAAAGAGAATCACAGCCAAGTCACAAACCGATATATTGCACTGACCTCGAAACTCAAAACTATGGTAAGAAATCCTGCACTTGGTCAAAAAATGAAACTTTCCCAAATCTTCATTTCCCTCTCTAAAACCATAGCAGCACTTGACTTTATAAAAGTTTCTACAGCAAAGGACAAAGCGAAACCCATCTGGACAAGTTCCGCCTCAAAGGTTCATGTGATACAAAGAGAATCACAGCCAAGTCACAAACCGATATATTGCACTGACCTCGAAACTCAAAACTATGGTAAGAAATCCTGCACTTGGTCAAAAAATGAAACTTTCCCAAATCTTCATTTCCCTCTCTAAAACCATAGCAGCACTTGACTTTATAAAAGTTTCTACAGCAAAGGACAAAGAGAAACCCATCTGGACATGTTATATTTTACCGTAGAGTTTAAAAAAGAAACTAAATTAAAGGAAAAAAGTTATCACCCACAAGCAGGAGGATCTCTCTTCAGCTCAAGTTGATCATGCAGGTTAGTCTCAGATGTTGCCCGCTATAAGTGCCTATCCGCTGTGGCCAAGCACGCTAACTAATTGGCCACACCACTAATGCATGCTATCACCGCTGTCATACACCTGTGTGACCAATGGGACTTTATCTGAAGTGTAGCACAAGGGATTCTCCACCACACTGCAGAGAAACTCTATGGCTCATTAGTACCCTGAATGTGGCTATGGTGACAGGTTTAGGTTTGCCACCGCGTGTCACCTTTTCAGTGCGTGCGCAGCCATTACCGGCCTTGGTTGAGCGATCTGTCATGCCTAAAGCTGTCCCACATGCTGCTTCTCCCCATTTGCACCCCCCTCTCCTTGCTTGGTGGTAAAAGATGGGATTGCTTACTCTGCACATTGAGCCAGGCTGTGCGGGACACGATGGCGTGGCTGCTCACGGACCGGCCCACTTGGCACTCGTAGGGGCCGTCGTCTTCCAAACTCACGTTGAGAATTTGAAGATGGTACTGGCCTGTAGGAGAAAGCAGGCGGAGCAGAAATTATGAGGAGGAAAGAAAGGAATATGAGAGAAATGTGATCTTATTGTTCACACGGACAATGGAGCGGAAAAGACTTGACAGCACTGAATGAATATTCAGGGTTAGGACAACTTAAACTCCGCTGATAGCATTTGTAATGCTTTGGGTTTCTAAAAGCATATTTGAAGAGTTCCACCATTAATATAAATTTGGAGATTTGGCATGTTCAGATGCTTCCTAAAATCCACTTTTAATTAACTAGAAACTAATCGGAGTAAAGAAATTCCAATTGTCAAATGGTAGAGCAAAATGTATGTGCAGTCTCAAATTAATGGCCCAAATTAGCGACGAGCGTTATACAGAGAAAGATTTTGTGATTCATTCTATTTGATGCAGCCCTTCAACATCGTTCCTTTGTGTGCAAGGTTCTTGTTATTTACTAGCAGAATATCGTGCCACCAAGGGGTTGTTTGTTCAACTACCATTCTTCCAGGATTAATGGCTGCTCGGGCGAAGTTTATGCAAGCTGTTCGAGCCTTGAGCATTTTTCTTTTCCCCTTTTTTCCTTTTCTCCTCCCCTCTGAAGAAAACTAACATGCAGAAAATAGTATCCTGATATGACAACTTCCACGGCTGAAAAAAGGAGGTGTCAGGCAGGATGGCAGGATAATTAACACCAAGCAGCAGCAATTTTCAGATCTATGTGATCTTTGAAGGAAAGGAAACCACTTTCAAATCATTAATGATTTTCCACTCTCTTTAAATTGCACTCGGTACACGCTGACTCGGTTCGGGATGTTTGTGAGCGCGTGTTTGAAGAAGTCCAATAATTACGCCTCTTACAACCAATATGAGACGCCAATGGGGACTCTGGCCCGTCCTCTCACTCATTTCCTTTTGCAAGGTATTAGAGTGTGTGTGTGTGTGCACCTACGGTTTGTCACGCAGAACTCATGTGGATGTGTGTCTGCGTATCAGTAGATTAAGGTTGGCAGGGTTAACATTAAAGATGCTTTCAGCATGTCTTTTTATGATATCATTTGTCCCTTACATGGCACTCTTTATCCGTCATGCTATCAATGCCCGGCGGCACAAGCGGTAGTATTCAATAGCGTAAGCATTTTATAAGCATTTGCACTTGCATTTGGCACAAACTGCCTCTCTCTCACTATGTTGGATAGCAGCTTTTGTTTCTTCACAAAGAGGAGCAGATGCTCAGGACTTGTTTAGCATTGTCTTTTAATTGGCTTTTATTATATGCACAAAGCAGGCTGGCCAAGCATCATAGGTTATTCACTGCCTCAGCCCACTACACAATAATCTCAATTTACTCTGAATGGACATTAAAAATAGGAGTAATTCAGAGCTGATTTTACTTTATATATTTATTTATTTATATGGAAGGGAATTGGGGGTGGGTACTGAAGTCCTCTCACTCAAAAAGAAAAAAAAAAAAAAGCTGATTTCTTAAATCTGTCTCCGGTGCTTAAATTAGAAGCCCTTTGATAGTATCTCGCTAAGCTGTTTTTTAAGAGAGCTGAGCGCATTTTGATGAGGAAGGCTGCATCTAAACTAGAAATGGAGATGGAGGCATCTATAGCCATTTGCAGATTGTGATCAAAACATTTTCTAATGATTCATGCTAATAATCGTTCACGCTGAAAAAAGATGACTTTTCCCCCCCTTAATTTATCATTTCTCAAACACTCCAGTGCATTTACCCAAGACAATAAAAATATTTGTTTTTTTTTCCTAATAAAAATATTCATTTTGATTTAGATTTTTGGGTCAAATGTGACTTTTGTGAGATTCACTAACTAACTAACTAACTAACTAACTAAATACATACATACCTGGATGGATGGATGAATAAATAAATAAATAAATAATAAATAATAATTGCTGTGCATTGAGATTATGAATAAAACATTTTCTAATGTTTAATGCTAATGTTTAATAAAAAAATCTGATTTGTTTCCTCAATTTGTCCCAAACACACCCGGGCATTTACCCAAGACAACATACTGTATATTTAAATGGTAATTACCATATGAAAATAGTAAAAATAGTAAATATAAAAAAATATATATTTTATAATTATTTATAAAATATTTAAATATATGTCAGCAATCTACCCCCCCATTTATTATTATTATTATTTATTTATTTATTTTCAATAATTACAACTTTTTTTCTTTTGATTTTAGGGTGAAATATGACTTTTATGGCAAGTTTTGTGACATTTTCTAACTGAATAAATGAATAGATGATTGAATGAATGAATGAATGAATGAACGAACAAACAAACAAACAAACAAACATATAGTTAATTTTTTACTTTCTCAAATTCAATCAAGTTTATGAATTACACTGTAGCATCTGTTTGGAGAACAGTTTCACATTCTCGTGCTCTTTGGGGACAGTTGCCCGCTCACGCACATCTAACAACATGTCAGCAAACATCTCAGCAACTCGTAGACATTTGTTTTTAATCACCGCATGTCATTCTTTCCATCCCTCCGAGTTCTCACCTTTCTGCTGGTCTCCTGTCATGCTGTAGCGTGGGTAGCCAGGCAGCGATCTCTGAGGTCCCAGGAACAGCCCATCTTTAACCCACTGCATGGCCCCTGAGGCCCTCAGCACTTCACACTTCAGCAGAGCTGTGGCCCCCACCCTGACCGTCACATTACGTGGCTCTGTCTTGAACGCCTGCTGCCCACACACACCTACAAAAAGAGAAAGACAACAGAAGAAAATGGGAGAGCTGATGCGAGTCAAGGTTAGGACGGAGAAATCTTTCATTACCAACACAAGCTTCTATTGCTGAAGGCTGCAAACATATTTGCTGGAACTAACTAACTAAAAGTAGAAGTGCTACTGACTTTACAGCACCCTTTTTATTAGTCAGACAATGGTTCAGGGTTTTTTGTTTTGTTTTGTTTTTTAATGCTAACGGAACAAGTTGTTTTTTAAATGTCACATTGACAAAGTAGATGCCATTTTTTATTCCAGTGAACTGGTCCTTTCTCTCATATGTATGCTGGAAAGTCTGATTCATATTAATGAATTGGTTTGATACGTGTACCGACGAAAGGACTAATTCTTTTCAGTGTATCAGCTCATCTAGTTGGTTCTTTCTCTCATATATATCAGTGGAAAATCCGATTCATTCTAGTGAATCTGTTGATTCAGACAAAAAATGACTCTAGATCAGGCTAATATACTATGCAGTGGAAGTTTGAAGCCACAACAACTGAACCTCGAAAAGCAAAAAGGGAAACGAAAAGCACCCGTAATAAAACACGAATCAGCATAGTTTGCATAGCATTACATTTGTTGTGCATCTACTAGAACAATCGGTTCCAACAAATAACCTTTATTTTATATAGCACTTTATACAATACAGATTGTTTCAAAGCAGCTTTACAGGGATAAACAGGAAAATAATAATTCAGTGATGTAAACTGAGATCAATTCTGTTGTAAAGCAGCTTTAAAACAACAACACAAGTCAAAACAACAACGGCATTTAAGCTACTTATCTGCTCATAAGTCATATTTTTCAGGTATCTTTCTTTTTTTCGTTATTAGGAGAGTTCTGGTGCTGTTAGTGACATTCGCACTGATCCATGAATCTATGAATCCATGAATCATGAACACAGCGGTGCGTCTCAAGCCAGATTCTTCAGTGTAGAATAGTGGAGCCAGCCGAAGTACAACTCACACAATTAACAAAACAATGTTCCTCCACGAGTTACTTGCAGTTTTGCGCTTCAACCTCAAGAGGGCCAAAATTTACAAAGTATAGCTTAAATTACAAACTATTCACTTAATAATATAAATCTATTTTCAGTATATTTACCTGTATGATGTTGTCACCATATCCATGTCTCCACAATTAAAATAATTTAAAAATATGCATACAAAACTTGGTTGTATTACCAGAGGAATTCAAATCTCAAGATTTCAGGGCCAGGAATAACTCGGATTGAGTTAACAGCTCTCATTATCCGAGTGGGATCCAAATAGAGCTCAGACATTTCTCTTCTTTAATTAATCTCTGCCACTGTGCCGAAGGTCAACAACTGTGGTAAGAGAGTTTTTTTTTTTTCTTTTTTCCCTGAATGTTTGAAATGGCAAAGGTAATTTAATGCCCGTCAAGCTTCCTTCTTTTAAAAACTTTGTGTGGCCTGGTGGTTATCACATGTGCTCTTGAGCTGTGGGACTCATGCAAGTAACGTGAGTTCAGATCCGGTGGTTACAATGTGGTTTAACGGTTCTTTCTCTCATACCCTGAAAAATCTGATTTATTCTAATGAATCAGTTAATTCAGGTGATATATGTCAAAAACATGAATCAAGTCAATGCATTTTATTTAATAGTGAAATATTTAGTTAAATAATTAAAGCTACACTATGTAACACGCCCCTTATTGCTGATTGGCTACAAGTTTGTTTTGCTATTCGGCCCGAATCAGTTTTCTAAAGTGTTTTTGAAAAATCACATACCCTGCCTTTAAGCATTGCTTTGCTGTTCCTCATCTCTGTGTATGTTTTACTGACGACAGATTGGAGCCAATTCAGCTCTGCAAATGAGTCAATAAAGTAATTACAGAGAATTAAATCTCTGAAGGTATGAAGAGATCTCAAATCCCCTTGCTGTTTTCTCAGCTGTCAATACACTTACGGCTAATATCCACCCAGAAGAATGATGACTGGGCTACAAAAAGACGCCTATTTCCTCACCACTTGTGTTGTGGCATTATGATTTGTGTGACACCCATCTGCTGATCATTCTTTCGAATGGAGTCGGCTTGTACCTGTCATAAACATGATTTAACGGGACATAACACTGACGATGACTCTCCGACGACCCCGTTGTGTAACATCGGGAATGCAATTGTGGAACCTCTGTGTGGGAGATCCTACCTAATTAAAAGAACGTGGCATTCAATAGTGGTTTGAGATTTAAAGGAACAGTGCAAAACAAAAATGTGATTTTTTTTTCACCACTACAAGTGAATAACAACTTATAGGGATAGTTCACCCAGAAATGGAAATTCGGTCATCATTTACTCGCCTCATTAAAAAAATCTATATGACATTCTTTTGGCATTAAAGAATATATTGAAAGCAATTGGAGTCCAAACAACATTGGACCCCAATGAAAAGCTATCATATGGTTTCTTAAGACTCAGAATATACTCTTAAAAATAAAGGTTCTAAAATCAGACATCTATGGTTCCCTTGACCACTCATGGAACCATTCCAATACACAAAAGGTTCTTTATGGTGGAAAAAAAGCTTATTTTGATTATTAAAATGATCTTCAAACTAAGAAAAAATTATTGTTTACTGAAAATTACTTTGGGGAACCCAAAATAGTCCTTTCTTGGCATTTGCTGCAAAACCCGCTTTTTGGAACCTTTATTTTGTGTGTACATGCTTTTTTGTTGCCCTTTACCATCCATAAGACCTTTCCATTGCACAAAAGGTTCTTTTTATGGAGGAAAAATGTTCTTCAGATTATTAAAATGTTCTTCAAACTAAGAAAAAAATGGTTCTTTTAAAGAAATGTTTACTGAAAAGTTCTTTGGGGAACCCAAAATGGTTCTTACACTCTTAAAAACAAAGGTTTTTCTATTGGCATCTATGGATCCATCAACAACCGTTAACATTTACACTCTTAAACATAAAGGTTCCAAAAACTGGTTTTTGCATTAAAACTGTAGAAGAACCATTACTGGTTCCTCAAATAACCTTTCAGTGAACAGTTCTTAAAAGGACATTTTTTTTCTTAGATTGAAGAATATTTAAAAAATCTGAAGAACCTTTTTCCACTATAAAGAACCTTCTGTGAAATGAAAAGGTTCCATAGATGTTCTTCATGGAACCACAGATGCCAATAAAGAACCGTTTTTTTTTAAGAGTGTATGTAACCTTTCTTTTGCACAAAAGGTTCTTTGTAGAGGAAAAATGTTATTTAGATTATTAAAATGTTCTTCAAATATTAATAATAAAATGGTTCTTCGGGGAACCCAAAATTGTTATTTTATGGAAAGGTTCCATAGATGTTCTTCATGGAACCACAGATGCCAATAAATAACCGTTTTTTTTAAGAGTGTATGTAACCTTTCTTTTGCACAAAAGGTTCTTTGTAGAGGAAAAATGTTATTTAGATTATTAAAATGTTCTTCAAATATTAATAATAAAATGGTTCTTCGGGGAACCCAAAATTGTTATTTTATGGCATCTCAACAAAAACCCTATTTCGGAACCTTTATTTTTACCTTTACCCTCCACAGAACATTTCCATTGCATAAAAGGTTCTTTATGATGGAAAAAGTTTCTTCAGTATATTAAAATGTTCTTCAAACAAACAAAGGTTATTTTAAAGACTGTTTACTGGAAGGTTCTTTGGGGAACTTAAAATGGTTCTCTATGGCATTGTTGCTTTTTTCACTTTTAAGCAGTTTTTTTGGGGTGTTTTTGTTGCCCTTTTTGGAACTTGACAACAGCTGTATGGCAAGAGTGGCCTTTATTTTTGGGTGAGCTACTCCTTTAATCTGATACACACAAGTTAGCAGGCGTTTGCTCTTTTTTTGTGAGCCCTAGATGTACCTGGTATGAAGTCGGCATCAGACTTTTATCAGGCTCCTCTGATCCGATCGTGGCTTCAGCCAGCCTTCAAAGACCTCTTACAGACTATGATTACTCGGACACTCTTTAGAGTGAAAAAGCAAATGTAGCGCACACAAAAGCGTCAGCTATTTTAGGACACATTTTCTTGAAAGGCTGCTCCCGAGGGCACGAGCAAGACTTTTCAAACCCCGGCACCTCTTTTGAGCCAATGACAAATATCCAGTGCATCTGGGCACACTCGACTGCTCTCAGAAGCCCGAACAACAGAAGCTGCAACTTCACATCAAGACTGCATCAGTCACCTCACGTCAAACTTGAAGGGCACAATTGGACACAAGCGACAAGCCGAAAAACACATTAGCATAATGTTTACATAAATGAATACGTAAACACAGCAGCAAGATAATCAGCATGGCACATTTAAATGCTGCAGCCAGCTGTACTCATGCGCTCCCTTCCCTTCAGCTGCCTGAGAAGCAGTGATAGGAGAGGAAAGACATGTCAAACACGCACCCCGGTCTGATTCCGACTCCTGATGCGGTGCGTTGACGTCTCATTTGAACAAGATAGTGACATGGATTAAGCTGCAGCATAGAATCTGACTTTTAGTTTATAGCGGGTGACGCTAAACTACAGCTCTGGAACAGAAAGTATCAACGCTAATGCGATGTACAACAATGAATTATTCTGCTCCTTTTGTAGTCCAAATAAACACGACTCCGAGATTTTAATCACAACCCATGTGCGTTCCATTCAAGGACTCAAAGGAGATGGAATTTCAAAGTCTGGATCAAAGAAAAAACTAATTTTTGCTTTGATTCAACAGGGAACGGTCGCTTTAGATTGGTGGTTGAGTCATAGCTTCAAAGTTATGCATAAACGAAAACGCATGAGGTGCTTCAACACAACAATTTGAATGCTTTCGGCCTTGATTGGTCAGATCAGTGATTCGCAAAAGTGCTTGCTGGAGACTTCTTTTGCTAGACGTTATATTCAGACATAATTAAATGGGTCATATGATGCTTTTTTAAAGATCATTATTTTGTGTATTTAGTGTAACAGAATATGTTGACATGCTTTAAAGTTCAAAAAACACATTATTTTTCAAATACTGTACATTATTGTAGGTCCTATATGCCCCGCATCTCCACAAGCAGAGTCTCATCTTTCACATACTGCAATCTCATGCGATCTCCTTCC